AGGAGGTTTCCGCTCACTGTGATAACAGACAATAATGCAAGGAAAGCATACAACAGTACACATATAACAGAGGGGCTGTTTGAAAGGATGTAATTGAAGTCGTCTATCACGTAGCAGGGATGGATGTGAGCCACATCCTCAGTCCTGTTCACAGTAACTCCTGCTTCCATGTTTCAGTGATCATGCAACCCACTTCAGTTTAATGCAAACCCTGTAATTGACTGCATAGTTCAAGCAGCTGAACGGGAAATTCTACGTGAAGCAGCCTCTTCTGCAGTCCAGGTCTTCTAACAGCTCACGAGACAAAAGAATCTGTAGAAAAGAGAACCAGCATTGAGAATTGTCCAATCACATGAGGTGAAAAACACAAATGAAGGTGGGTGTAAAGAGACAACTTCTGCTGTGTATTTTCAATCACACGACCACACCACTTAATTACTCAAAACTATTATAACATATTTGCGAAACGGAAAAACTAGTCAGTAGACTCTGTGTTCTTCAGTCCACTTGTAGATTCATTGTACACAACACACAGAGCAGCTACAACAAACTGAGTTGATCTAGAGGTCAACTGAAGTTGTCACAGGAAGCATCGACTTAAATAAGGTTCCTTTCCTGCCCAACATGCGTCACAGGTCTCCTCAAAGGTTTGCTATCACCTGATCCTCCTGTCATGAGCTGCATCATCACATCATTTGGGATCATCTTCACAGGCTTCTGTTCACTTTCAAATCATGTAAAATCTGTCAAATAATACACAATCTTTGTATCTCTTCACATGGCCACTCCAGGTGACTGATTTCTGTTTTAACTTTCGTTCAGACTTTAAAATTAGTAGTAGCAAATAAAAATTGTCTTTCTTTGCAATGCTGCACCAAGATCATGCTAAAATGTCCCATGCAATTCACAAGTTGTCTTATGAGCCTCCTCAATTTCACAAATTCTTACAATAGGGAGGAAGAGTGCAACGTTAGTGTGACACTTAAAGTCACATTAGCATCATTAATGGAAAATATTATTGGGATTCATTTTTAAATAAAGCCAGAGGTTAACTCAGAGGTCAGTGCTTGAAACAAGATGAATGTAGATTTACTTTTTGTTTGAGTAAAACCTGCATGTCCCCATCAAAGCTAAAGTTTTAGCAAGTGTTACCTTTGCTATGCTTAGTGAAGCTCTTTGCTGGTCTACATAGTATAGCTAGAGAGCGGTGATTCAGGCAACCTTGTGCATGGCTGTAATAAACAAGTAAGAAGAAGTAACTAACACAGAATCTTAACATGCCAACCGCCATAAACCTTCAAAGAAAAAGAAACAAAACTTTTCATTTCACTCTTCTTTGAAAAAGTCTAAAACAATAAACTTGTTGTTTCGATCACAACCCAGACCTCGTGAGGATTGGGACCTAGATGGACTGGTAAATTGAGAGCTTTGCCTTGCGGCTCAGCTCTTTCTTATTTTCATTATTTTCTTTATTTGTTCCATCTCCTTTTACATTGTTTGAAAATTTGATTTATTTATTTATTTTTTATCCCTTCCCCTCTCTCTCTGTGTATAT